CCATCCATCCATCCATCCTTCCTTCCTTCCATCCATCCATCCATCCACCATACTTCCTTCCTTCCTTCCATTCTTCCTTCCATCCATCCATCCATCCATCCTTCCTTCCCTCCTTCCTTCTTCCTTCCTTCCATCCTTCCTTCCATCCATCCATCCACCATCCATCCATCCATCCTTCCTTCCATCCTTCCTTCCATCCATCCATCCACCATCCATCCATCCATCCACCATACTTCCTTCCTTCCTTCCATTCTTCCTTCCATCCATCCATCCATCCATCCTTCAATCCATCCTTCCTTCCTTCCATTCATCCATCCTTCCATCCATCCTTCCTTCCATCCATCCTTCCATCCATCTTTCCATCCATCCATCCTTTCTTCCTTCCATCCATCCATCCATCCTTCTTCCTTCCTTCCTTCTAAAATGAACTCTGAAATCTCCTGTTCTCTTCTTTTCTTTTGGTCATTTTTGGGAAGTTTAGCACAGTGAAGCTGTAGTGTGTAGCTACAGTCACAGCAGTGCATTATGGGAGTTGTAGTACGAGCCATTAAAGGTCTGTACAGTATAATACGGGGGGGGGGGGCAAATCTCCTAATCATTTGGTACTCTAAATATATTGGTACTTTAAATATAATTACAGAGTTTGACACCCCTGGTTTAGAGGTTGACTTTATATGATGTTTGTATAGTTTTAATAAACTTATTGGTATAATTCTGGGTTATTAAACTGTTGACGGGATTTTATACGTTAACGCAGGGGAACATTTGGGGTGTGGTTTTACACTTTTATAACAAATTAAAGCTTCAGAAGTTTTCATACTTCTTTCAAATAAATTAGTTTGACAACACTTTGGATTCATCGTAATTTTTCACACAGTTTTAATTCTGCTTCTTAATCAGTAAAATCTAACAAAGCTCACAGGAATCACTAAGTATTTCTCCTTAATTTAAACCCTATATGAGCCATCTTGGTCTGAAATTAAATTGTAAACTCAGAATTCATTCGTCTGCCTACTTTTTAGTTTTTTATTTTAGGGTTTTGCTTCAATTGTGTTGGTTTGGAGTAAAAACTGATCAGATTCCTCTGAAATGATCAATTTAAACTTCTAAAAAGAAAGAAAAAGTTTTGTT